GAGATCGTGCGGGTCGAGTGCGCGAAATGCAGGCGAGAGTGCGATTTATCCCATACGTGCACAACCCTCTGCGGAGACCGTGCGGGTCCAGTGCGCGAAAAGCAGGCGCGAGGGCGACTTGTCCCACGCGCGCGCGTATCTGGGGAGCTGGAAGATGAGAACTGGGGACTTGGTAGTACAACTTTAGTAGGCGGAGTCGTGGAGTATCTGGGGAGCTGGAAGATGAGAACTGGCGACTTGGTAGTACAACTTTAGTATGCGGAGTAGCTGGGGAGCTGGAGGATGAGAACTGGCGACTTGGTAGTACAACTGTAGTACGCGGAGTATCTGGGGAGCTGGTAGTACTTCCTAGAGAAGCTGTCTCCTGGAGTGATGGAAACGTTACCTCTGATCGTATATCGATGGATGCATCTCCTCTGACAGGTCACTGCTTCGACAAACTTGTTGCGTAGCTGCCTCAGCAATTTTCTATTTTCATTCCAGCTCGGTTTGTTCGGTGAGATTACCTGGAGGCGTGAACGCTGCTTCTCAAGGAATGGACACTCTGAGGTGGATGTAACGTCTCAGGGAGGGCCGCGCTCCCAGACAGAAGAGCTACGTGCTGTACTATTTCCCTTTACCAGCAGCTCAAATGCTCTCCAAGATGAGCTGAGCTGTCACCGCTTGGCCGCCGGTGGGGGGTTTGGGAGGCCTGCGTGCTACTTGGTTCACTATATCTAGAGTGAAGAACTTCACCACTTGCCCTTACCACCAGCTCAAATGCTCACGAAGATGAGCTGAGCTGTCACCGCTTGGCCGGGTTTGGGAGGCCTGCGCGCTACTTGGTTCACTATATCTAGAGTGAAGAACTACTTCACCACTTGCCCTTACCAGCACCTGGAGCGCTCGCGACCTTGAGCGGAGCTGTCACTGCTTGCCCGCAGGTGAGGGCGTTACCATTGATACATAGAAAGACATACAAAGACACAGACATAGGTACACACACAGACAGGGACTCATACACACACACACAGACATAGATACACACACAGAGACCCACACGCTGCCTCAACTCACTCGACTTAACACTTCACACTGAACACTTAACACATAACTCACACTCTGACTTCATACGTGATGAATAATGCTTTCGGGCCACTCGTCGTCTAGTTGAACAAAAGAATGTAATCATGGTAATCGCATCCAAGCGTCTTGGCGGCCTCATACTTCTACAACCTTTAGGTTTTGGATGCACACTTTGGCCCTTGTGTAGATTTATGTTTTTAGCAACAGATGATGACACATATTCACGCTTTCAAACCATGATTTGCACCAGGGCTTTCCATTTTGCACTGATGAGCGCCATTGCGTCAACTCCTTGAGCCTAGTGTTTGGGCCTCAGGTCTTTGGTCAAAAAAGGACACGTATCCCAAAACGCTCCAACACATGTCCAGAGCCCTGTGCTGCAGTCTGGAATCTGTTTTCAATGGTACCTTGGAATCTGCATGGTCGGGGTACCCCGTTTGCCCTCGAAACATTTTGTTTAGTTGGACTCGTTGGACACGCCCATGTGCGACAGAGCTTACACGTGCCTACTTTTAGCATGTGACTCAATCCGGCGAACTTCTGTGGAGTCTTGTGGTTTCCGAGGTTCCTGCCGCACAAGGGTGGTGACGTGGTGTCACCTTCGTATAGTGGCCCAGTCTTTGGGTGTCTTGGAGATGTTGGGACCGGATTGGCTTGGTGGGTCGGGGAGATTGCTTCACATCCATGTGGATCGTTTTAGATTTGGAAACAGATGATGTTGAAGATGTCAAAGTAGGGGGGTCCTGTTCAGATGTAGCACGTAGCAGCCCGCAAACCACCTTGCAAAGCCAGGGGCTGGAAGCTTATCCCAGGGTTTTGGAGACCTTCCTCCCCTTACATGCTGGACTACTCAGGTGATTTGCTTGTGTGCCCTTGCGGCCAAGAGATTGAGGTCTTCGAGCTCAAATCACTTGAGTACAGTTTCGTCCCTCCTGAGGAGGGGTTCTGACGCCGACCAACGCGTCGCAGAAAATGCTTCGACTTCAATGCCCTGTCCTCGGGCAACGGAGTTTTCGTGGCCCTTCCAGTGGCCGGAAGGAGCTACCTCACCGGACACGTCGTGGAAAGAAAAAGGTCGAGGGTGGGATGGTGATGGGTGATGGCTGTCTCTGAAACCTAGATACAAAGATGAACAATCTCATCCCCCAGAGGACAAACACTTGATGGCCACGGCGCAGGTCGCCTGGGGAGAGCTGTGCGAGTCGGGTCTGCTGGAGCTGCTCACACGGCTACTGGTGCCCAGCTTCTCTGAGGTGGGAACGCAAAGCGACCTCCACCTTTCCACTTTTCTTTGTTTCTAAATAGCAATGGCCTCCAACCGAATAGCGATGTCCTCCTACCTAGTAACGTTGGCCTCCAACTTAAAAGCGATGGCCTCCACCCTAGTAGCGATGGCCGCCAACCTAATAGCGATGGCCTCCACCCTAGTAGCGATGGCCTCCAAC